CTGTACAAGTACAGGTCCTTTTACAGTACAGTACATTTGAGTCGATTAACCAGTCAAAACAAATCAGTTCTTTGTTATTGTAAATTTAATTTCTTTGGGTTTTAAATGTAAACCTAAATTGGCCAGAAAATAAAGAAACATTCTTTCACAATTTTATGACACGAAATATGGCTATTTATTGTTTGTATCTGACCATTTTCTACAGTGCTCAGTCAATTTCCCTGAATACACAATGCAGGGACAAGTGGATGATTTTTGTGAAGCATCCAATGGTATCTCATTGGTTATTTCACATATTATCCCTTTTTTTCAGGTTAATGCAACAGCCCTTCAAAACGTATGTGCATGTTGGATCACTGGATCTCTACAAGGTGGGAAGTATCTTCATCTTTGGTTGGTTTGTCACACATGATGATCCCAGGTGTAATTTGTGAAAGTCAGCACAGGGCGAAAGAAGCCCATCCAAGAGTGTGGAGAGCGGCGTTTGTGTGTGTTGTTTGCAAACTGTGCTTTGTAGGGACAACTGCAGATACATGACTCTTTCAGAGTGTGTGTGTACTGAGTTTGTTGGGACCCACTGCACTGATTCCTGACCAGCTCACAGTATCAAATTAGCAACACTCAACACAGACTTACTGTAACTCAACACCCACCAACTCTCTCACTTTTTCTCCATCTCTTTCTCTCTATTACACACACACACACAAACACACACACAGCCAACTTCCCTCTGCTGTTGTGTTGCTAGGTTACAAACTAGTTTAAGGAGTGGGCGTAGTGTGGTACCACACCCCAGAACATACAAGCACGCACACACATACACACACGAAAGACACCAAAACCCAAACTCTACCCTTAGTAGTAATTACAAATCTTTGATTGGCATAATTATAAGTTTTAAGCGTGTGTGTGTGTGTGTGTGTGTGTGTGTTTAAGTTTGCAAGTGAAATTCAATTAGATTTATGGCATCAGTGCAGAAACAATCAGTCGATCAATCAAATTAATAATATTAATAATCAAATAATGAGGCATTTGCTGTTTTTCCATTAAAGATGTATCTATTGATTATTTTTTAGAATTAATGATCTATAAATTGGTGTTAGAATGTCTCTTTATATTGGTCAATCTGGCCAATTTAAATTAAATAAAAAAAAATAAAAATAAAACTTAACTCTAATTTGCAGACAGATTGGTTAATTGACTAATCGTTTCAGCTCTAGTTATTAATCTTTATTTGTCATTAAAATGACTAAATGATTTAAAGCTGAAACAATTAGTTAGTTAATTGATTAGTCAAAAAACGCAAAAGGTCATTATCTAGAGCCAGTGTTTGCTTTGTCCATTCTGGGCTACTGTAGAAACATGGCAGCCTCCTTCTGTAGATATAAACAGCTCATTCTAAGGTAACAAAAACACAGTGATTCTTATATTCAGGTGACTAATGAAAACATACCTATGGATATTATATTCAATCTCTGACAATAGATCCTACTAAATGCTACACACTGGACTTTTAAATAACAGTCATATTATTCAACAATGACAACAATAGTTCAGTTCTATGACACTGTGTCTGCAATAATTACAGATGTGCTATTAGAGATTCCAATCAATCTTTGTATACTTTTACTCCATTCATCCATCTATTGATTCACTCTATCCGCTTTCCATCATTCATCCACCATAATCCCGTCATCATCTTCCCTGTTCTCCAACTCCACCAACAACTGCCTTTTGTTACAGCCAGGATTACACTAAAATGTTACTGTTTGATGGAAGTGCTTTCACTTTCCCCTGCATCCTTCTCTCTGTGACATAAAAATTGTTGCATTTTTTAAATGAAGTCTACTTCACTCAATAATGCATTGCAGTGAAATAAAATGCGAGTCGTTTTGGTGAGTTGTTGAGATTAAAACATTTAGTCAGCGTGTTAGTGTTAATTTGAGGTGGTTATAGAATGACTGGTGACCACGCGTAATCTGTTTCATTTGAGCCAAACTAAGATGATCAGGAAATAGCTTGCAGGAACAGCACTCATGCAGTCGTGTTTGTGTGCTACTCCACCCAAGAGTATGATGTCATGGATCCTTCCACTCCTTCATTCATCTCATTTAAGAGTACCAGTTCATCTCCCTGCTAACCACATCTACATGTAAAGCTAGAAAAATGTCTATTGTTTATTTTGTCACAAATCACACTCTTCAAAGGAAAATTTTTCAGAAATTGGACGACACTTTGCACAGGAAATCTGCATGAAGGCTACACAAACAAACATGGAGGAGAGTGAACATGACACCAGCGCAGAGAAAGTTGTGATGCATTTATGGCAACAGCTCAGTCAGGATTAGCACCCTAGAGAGCACTTACCACAGGGAAATCTAAGAAGGCACTTTTTCTGCATTTTTTCAAACATGGTGGAACATTTCCACCAGTGGATAAGACAAAACCAGCTTGTACCTAAAAGAGGGGCTTCTTCTGTCGCATGGATGCTGTTTGGGAATGTAAAGTCTGACAGACAAGAAAACAGTAATATACACTAATGCAACTACAGTTGAAAAGTGTTTTCTATTTACCTTTTCACATTTTACACATTGATATTTTATATTTTGCTAAAATTTGGTTCTAATCATTAAAAATAAGAGTCAGTACTGGGACTGTGTATTGGCAAGAATCTGACCATAGGATATGTATCACGATTCAATAGTGGTTCAATACATTGCATTATATTGCTATACTCTAAACAAGCCAATATATTGCAATTTTTAGCCCTTTAGTTTACATTTACAACATTGCTATGTAGTGGCTGGGGTTTAAACACAAAAATCAATACAAAATATCGCAATATGATATATTTAGATATTTTCTTTTATCCCTAGTAGATACATTTTATTTGCTGAGTATATGATTCAAAATGTAATAACAGCCTTTCCATGTGGTAATTTTATCTAAACTATATAAACTATTCATTAAATTTACAGAAAATGTGCTATTGCGATATATATTGTTACCTGGATATGAAATGACATCATATTATATGTATATATATATATATATATATATATATATTGCACAGCTCTATATCCATTCATCCTCAACAAATCCATTCATCCAACCATTCCTCCATCCATTTATAGAACTATGCTTTCACCCATTCATTCATATGCTCGTCCATTATTCATCCATCCATCCACTTTTTCACCAATTCAACCATTCGTCCTTCCATGACTGCTCACCATCAGTAGTGCTGGACTGTAGTCTCTGGCAGAGCCCCTCTGTGTCTCCGTAGCTGTCTTGGATCTTCTGCAGGGCGTCAGTCCCTCTGAGCTCCATCAGCTCCCTGAGCTCATTCACTGTGACCCCGAAGTCTCCTCCTGCTTGGCTGCCATCTGCCCTTCCTCCTCCTCCGCCCCCACCTCGAGTCCCTTTAGGATAAAACTCCACCGCGCTATTTGCCATTTCACCCATTGTGGCTGTTGTTGACATGTCAGTAAGGTTTCTTTTTTCTGTTTTGGTCCTCCTTTCTCTCCGTAGTCTGTCCTCAACTCAGTTCCCCTTCCGCTTGGTTGGTGGAGGGTTGTTCATGTGCTCAACAGTCAGATTCTCGGTTATGTCTTGATTCCGTACTTAAAAATGTGTGATTATATTGACACACCTAAACCCTTTTTAATTTTATTAAAGGAAAATGAAGGGGCGTTGGTTGTTAATTTTATTCCTCCTCACTTTCTTGGCCTAGCCTCCCACTGCTCCTTTAATTCTCCATAACAGGAGGAGGAGGAGGGTGAGGGGGATCAAGGACAGCGAGCAGGGCCACTTCAGAAGCGTGATGTCTGAATGAATCCAGCTTTCTTGTACTGCGTCTCCGCTGCAACTCTGCTCTTTCCTCGTTTCTGTCCCCCTCCCTCCAGGGTCACGGCCAGTCCATGGACGGACGGACGGGCAGGCTGAAGGACTTACAGACAGGGATGAAGGGATGATGGATGGATGGAGAGAGGGGCGAGCAGGGCAAAGGCGGCTGATAAATCAGAGACAGGAAGTAGATCCAGTTCAGAGGTAGCTACTGCTGCACCACCAGGACCTAAGAGAGAGCAAGGAAGAGATAAAACATTACCACTCTGTTCTATTGATCTAACTCACGTTCATTACATCAAATCATTTCTGAGGAAGAGACGAGGCGTGCCCAGACTGGATGCAGTTGTGAAACTTTTTAATGCAGTGGCTAAAAATCTACCATTAATACATCAGTTTTATTCTAAATGAGTATACAAGAGTGACTTAAAGCATAGCTCAGCTTAACTTTATAACAGTGCTATATAGCAGTTGGGGGTTTAAACACAATCAATACAGTGTTTTTGAGAATGGATACAATATCACAAAATAAAACATCGCAATACAATATTTTCTTACACCCCTAAACACATTTGATTATGTATTAACCTAAGATCATTATTGGTATAATCATATCCTCCTAAACCACTGCCATTTGTTTCACTTCATGCGATATTTAAACCTGCGTTTATTGATTTTTTGGCCACTTGGGGGCAGCACAACAAGCTGCAAACACAACACTGCCATATTTATTTCCTTATAGAGTGGATATGACTAACATGTTAGCAAACAGTGGCTTATTTACATATTTAGCAGCAACATTAGCATTAGTTTGGAGTTCATTTGGAGCAGTTTTTGGCCATGTGACAAATGTACGCCCAATATTCAATCCACCTGCTGTTTAGTGCTGGGTATGTCAACTTGTTTGCACTTTTTGCAGAGTTGGTGATAACTCTCTGCGGGTGACTACAAGGGACACCTCTCACATTATACTTGAATATACTACATTTTGTTCCTTTGTTTAAATAACAGAACAAAACAAAACACTGATTATAGCAGCTTTAAATATTCTCAGAAAAGCTTTTTCAACAGGCTCCAAATATCAAATATATCTCCTAGAATGTTGCTTATGCTTTCATCCACCAATAATTAAGCACAGTGGTTTTTGTAAGAAAAAAACACATAAAGCTATGACATTTGTCCACTGATATTGACTGTACTGGACAGAGTGTATTAGCAAGAATCTGACAATTACAGAGGTTATATTCAGTTTACTGTGATATATTGCAATACTGTAAGAAAGATATATTAGTAGTAGCAGTAAATTGGGGGCTTTAGTGCAGTGGTTCTCAACTTTTCCTTTTTGTCAAGTATTCCAAAATTGAGAGACATTCAGCTGTGGACCTATATTTGATAAGATGTAGTCTCAGGGATCCCGTTTGATAAAACTGAGTTATTCCTGGCTGGACTGTAGATTAGCAGATTAACAGTGAGTGTGAAACTTATCAACAGAACAGTCATTCCTATACATTCTCTCATTGGGCTAACTTTTAGCCGATGAAATAACATTGAAATTATAATATTTCCCATTTTCTGGGGATGCCCTGAAACACTCTCAAGGACCCCAAGTTGAGAACCACTGCTCTAGTGATTATGGACAGTTATGTGAGTCAAAACAAAGTACAGTGTGTGTATGGTAATGAAGCAACATGTGTTTGGACAGCAATGGAGCTCAATGGCACATTTCATTGTTGTTTTTTTGGTCTTTTCACAGGAGTTGTTGATAATAAGAAAAATAATCACCTGCCTCTGCTTTTAGGTTACCGTCTAATGTTACATTAAACCAGCTACTTCCAGTGCATCCACTTTGACACAAACCCCACCATTCCTGGATGTGTCCACATACATGCTTTCCAGGTGCAATTAATTCATGTTCAATTTGCTCCGTCTGATAAAAAAGCTTGTGAGACCTGAAAGAGGGAAATTTCCTGAAGTGAGCTGCTTTTGTTGAATCCACTGAAAAACAATTTCCTAATCACTGAATTAACATTTTAACCCATCTCTGGAACTGATTTAATTAAAATAAATCTGACACCGATAGCGCTCAGTACCGCCGAGCAGAACAGCAACTTGCTTCCCTTCAGCGACGCTGACTGCGGAGAGGCTCCATCCCACATGAGCAATTAGCGCTGCCTGTAACTAAATATTCTCAGCATCACACATGACACAACATATTCTGATTTCCCTATCAGGCTATTTTACATAAGGATGAGCATAAAAAAACAGAAGTGAAGCTCATCATTAATTCCTTTTCTCCTCCCTCCTCTCCACTCTTCGCTCTCCCTCAGCTCCCTCTGCCTCTTGCATCTTCTCCCTCCCTCCCCTCCTCTCTCCCCTGCCATGCCTCAATCCTGACTGAGAGTGTTAGTTTATGACTGAGTCACCCTGTTCTGCCTTTGAAGCTTCCTCCCGCTCTCCGTCTTTTCTTATTTTTCTGCTCTCCCATCTATCTATCTGTCTGTTTGGCTTTACTATCTGTTTTTTTCCTGGCACGCCTTGTCTTGAGGTGTCTCATCGCTTGTTATTATTTTACCTTTCCTCCCCTGACTCCCTCATTTTGTCGCTCTCCCTGTCTATCTGCTTCCTGCTACGGCAATCATTTATTTACTCAGCCAGTCGCACATTTTCTTCCCAGCCCGGTCTCTTACTCACTGATTCTGTCTGATTTTATAACACTCCAGAAAGAAAAAGCTCTTCTGTTCAGCCTCCCAACTACTGCAACTAACTGTGAGCGCATCTTTCTGTTTGAGCCGGAGCTTTGATGTGTACAGTGTACATGTGTACGTGTGTGCCCGCGTTACATAAATTGCATTTATTAAAAGAACACTTTGTTACTCAATTTGTTACGCCTTCCTCACTCTTACATGCACACAAATACAGTCCACTTTACAGCTCACCAATGTACAGTAAACAGACAAAGCCACTGACGCCCAGAGACATTACTTATATGATCTCTGCCACGACAGACACACGCACACGTCGTACAACACAGCGCTTTCAAAATGAAAGTGAGAGAGGGGTGAGGTGGTGGGGGCTGTCCTGGCTGAAAATGTGTTTGAACATGAAAAGAGTCGGATGAAAGGTCACCACAATCCTCAGCGACCTGCCCATTCATCCTGCACACTGGCCCCGCTTCTCCAGCAGCCCTCGGAGGGTCGAAGCAATTTAATTGGTTTTTTTTGTTTTGTTTTTTATTTCAAGAGAAAGTGGTCACTCTTTTCACCTCGGGTGTTTCTTCTTTATCACGGCAGCAAGAAGGTTGAGATGTGTACAGAACGGGGAAGACACAGGAGAGAAGGTCCTCACGGGATTTGATTCTAGGCCAGCAGGGCCTTGTATGCTTTGTGTGTGTGTGTGTGTGTGTGGTGGATGGGGCAACCCAGGCCACATACACTTACACTGGAGCACACGTGACTAAACACGTATGTGTGCACTCATGTCTATGCTTCCTGTGCTCACAATTGTCATCCCAGGTGACTGCGTGTCAGTATTTGGTGTCCCCCACAGGACAGTCTGCGGTCCACTTGTACACCTGCAGTCCTACTTTCCGACAGGCATCTGAAGGGTCACCTCTGGCGGGGCCCTTGTATCTGGGCTGCTGCCTGCCGTCGCTGGCTCGGCGCCAGTCACACACTTCTGTAATGCCCAGCGGGAATAGCACACTTAGAATTCGACAGTGGCTGGAGCCATTAAAGGTGGGCCGCCTACAGGGCACTGCTATCTGCATTACAGTACAGCACATTAAAGCAACTGTTTGATGCTGATGATGACGAGGATGATGATGGTGATAGTTTCAGAAGTGGGGTGGGGTTGGGGGGCGTTTGGACGAAATAAAGTCCCAATTAAGACTGATTGATGATGTGTATCCATCTCTCTTACATCTCACACACATGCACGGACACACACTCCCACACTCACGGTGTCCCATGTCTTGTCCCTCCCACATGAGCCACAGTCTACCTCCACCCAAAGCTACACACACTCAATTCTTGCGATTGCCAGCAACACGAGCACTTCTGTGCAGGAATGTCCCCATGCAACAGTGTGTTTCCCACACAAAACGACCTTTCCTGGTCACCTTCAGACGTGAGCGCTTGAGCTTCATCCCTCTGCTCATCCTCATCCTCAACACACACCAGAGGAGGTCCTGATTAATGCTGAGAAACTACACTGCGCGGCTACTGAAAATGCAAGGGGAAAGAGTGTAACCCGTGGTGCGCCACTTCCCTACCCTATGTCCCTCCGCAAGGTTACCGGCCCGGTCACCGCCGGCCCGTTCTGCCCAACTCGCGCCCACCCTGCGCCGGGCGACTTGTGAAGGTCCCTCCGGCCAGAGATCCAGATCAAACCGACACCCCCGCAGCTCAGCGCTGCAGGTGCGACGCGTCGTTACCGAGACAAACAACGCAACTGACAATAGCCTATAGCCCGGTGCACAGCAGCCCGGGAAAACCGAGAGGCAAGCGACAGCCCTTCAACTGACACAGGACACGGAGGGATGGATGGATGGACGGATGGATCATGGATGGATATCGTTAGCTCTGCGCACGCACGCACGCGCAAGCACATTCACGCGTGCACGCGCGCACACACATACTCCCTCATAATGTCATAGCGCTGTTTGCCAGGGTATTATGGTATGCCCTACTGTATGGGCTATCATTACAGCTGTGTCAGGCCTGTGAGGAGACACATCACATCAGGCCCGCTCCACATTCTGCAAGTCCGCTAAAAAGCTCCTACCTGCCGTTAATGATCACAGCGCGAGCAACACATCTTCCCTAATAAAAACGGCGCTCGGGGTAAATAACAGTCACGCACGCGAGCACGCACGGACTCACCGACTCACCGTGCAGGCCGAGCTCAAGGACATCAGCATCAGCGCGCGGGCGGGGAGGCAGAATCCCCGTTAATCTGCGTGTGCGTGGAGCGGAGAATGTCCCAGACCGGATGAGAGGACACTGGGGGAGGGGGGACCGGGGCTGCGGCAGCAGCCTGGAGTCCGAAGGAGTGGAGGGATGAAAGACGACGACGGTGCTGATGAATATTCCGCTCCGCGCGGTCACCTGACGGTTGGTCGGCGGAGTTCTGCGGCGGTTGAGGAGAGAGAGAGAGAGAGA